AGAATGACCCATCATGCCCCATTAAAAATCTAGAATGACCCATCATGCCCCTTAAAATCTAGAATGACCCATCATGCCCCATTAAAATCTAGAATGACCCATCATGCCCCTTAAAATCTAGAATGACCCATCATGCCCATTAAAATCTAGAATGACCCATCATGCCCCTTAAAATCTAGAATGACCCATCATGCCCCTTAAAATCTAGAATGACCCATCATCCCATTAAAATCTAGAATGACCCATCATGCCCCTTAAAATCTAGAATGACCCATCATGCCCATTAAAATCTAGAATGACCCATCATGCCCCTTAAAATCTAGAATGACCCATCATGCCCCTTAAAATCTAGAATGACCATCATGCCCATTAAAATCTAGAATGACCCATCATGCCCATTAAAATCTAGAATGACTCCATCATGCCCATTAAAATCTAGAATGACCCATCATGCCCCTTAAAATCTAGAATGACCCATCATGCCCCTTAAAATCTCGAATGACCCATCATGCCCCTTAAAATCTAGAATGACCCATCATGCCCATTAAAATCTAGAATGACCCATCATGCCCCTTAAAATCTAGAATGACCCATCCTGCCCCTTAAAATCTAGAATACCCACATGCCCCTTAAAATCTAGAATGACCCATCATGACCCATTAAAATCTAGAATGACCCATCATGCCCCTTAAAATCTAGAATGACCCATCATGCCCATTAAAATCTAGAATGACCCATCATGCCCCTTAAAATCTAGAATGACCCATCATGCCCCTTAAAATCTAGAATGACCCATCATAGCCCATTAAAATGTAGAATGACCCATCATGCCCCTTAAAATCTAGAATGACCCATCATGCCCATTAAAATCTAGAATGACCCATCATGCCCATTAAAATCTAGAATGACCCATCATGCCCCTTAAAATCTAGAATGACCCATCATGCCCATTAAAATCTAGAATGACCCATCATGCCCCTTAAAATCTAGAATGACCCATCATGCCCCTTAAATCTAGAATGACCCATCATGCCCATTAAAATCTAGAATGACCCATCATGCCCCTTAAAATCTAGAATGACCCATCATGCCCCTTAAAATCTAGAATGACCCATCATGCCCCTTAAAATCTAGAATGACCCATCATGCCCCTTAAAATCTAGAATGACCCATCATGCCCCTTAAAATCTAGAATGACCCATCATGCCCCTTAAAATCTAGAATGACCCATCATGCCCATTAAAATCTAGAATGACCCATCATGCCCCTTAAAATCTAGAATGACCCATCATGCCCCTTAAAATCTAGAATGACCCATCATGCCCCTTAAAATCTAGAATGACCCATCATTGCCCCTTAAAATCTAGAATGACCCAATCATGCCCATTAAAATATAGAATGACCCATCATGCCCCTTAAAATCTAGAATGATCCATCATGCCCATTAAAATCTAGAATGAACCCTCATGCCCATTAAATCTATGAATGACCCATCATGCCCATTAAATCTCGAATGGCCATCATGCCCCTTAAAATCTAGAATGACCCATCATGCCCCTTAAAATCTAGAATGACCCATCATGCCCCTTAAAATCTAGAATGACCCATCATGCCCCTTAAAATCTAGAATGACCCATCATACCCATTAAAATCTAGAATGACCCTCATGCCCCTTAAAATCTAGAATGACCATCATGCCCATTAAAATATAGAATGACCCATCATGCCCCTTAAAATCTGGAATGACCATCATGCCCCTTAAAATCTAGAAGACCCATCATGCCCCTTAAAAATCTAGAATGACCCATCATGCCCCTTAAAATCTAGAATGACCATCATGCCCCATTAAAATCTAGAATGACCCATCATGCCCCTTAAAATCTAGAATGACCCATCATGCCCCTTAAAATCTAGAATGACCCCATTACAATCTAGAATGACCCATCATGCCCCTTAAAATCTAGAATGACCCATCATGCCCATTAAAATATAGAATGACCCATCATGCCCCTTAAAATCTAGAATGACCACATCATGCCCTCTTAAAATCTAGAATGACCCCTATCATGCCCCTTAAAAATCTAGAATAGCCCATCTAGCCCATTAAAGATCTAAAATGACCTCATCATGCCCCTTAAAATCTAGAATGACCACATGCCCCTTAAAAATTCTAGAATGACCCATCATGCCCCTTAAAATCTAGAATGACCCATCATGCCCCTTAAAATCTAGAATGACCCATCATACCCCATTAAAATCTAGAATGACCCATCATGCCCCTTAAAATCTAGAATGACCCATCATGCCCCTTAAAATCTAGAATGACCCATCATGCCCCTTAAAATCTAGAATGACCCTCATGCCCCTTAAAATCTAGAATGACCCATCCATGCCCCTTAAATCTAGAATGACCCATCATGCCCATTAAAATCTAGAATGACCCATCATGCCCCTTAAATCTAGAATGACCCATCATGCCCTTAAAATCTAGAATGACCCATCATGCCCCTTAAAATCTAGAATGATCCATCATGCCCCTTAAAATCTAGAATGACCCATCATGCCCATTAAAATCTAGAATGACCCATCATGCCCCTTAAAATCTAGAATGACCCATCATGCCCATTAAAATCTCAGAATGACCCATCATGCCCCATTAAAATCTAGAATGACCCATCATGCCCCTTAAAATCTAGAATGACCCATCATGCCCATTAAATCTAGAATGACCCATCATGCCCCTTAAAATCTAGAATGACCCATCATGCCCCTTAAAATCTAGAATGACCCATCATGCCCCTTAAAATCTAGAATGACCCATCATGCCCCTTTAAAATCTAGAATGACCCATCATGCCCCTTAAAATCTAGAATGACCCATCATGCCCTTAAAATCTAGAATGACCCATCATGCCCATTAAAATCTAGAATGACCCATCATGCCCATTAAAATCTAGAATGACCCATCATGCCCCTTAAAATCTAGAATGACCCATCATGCCCCTTAAAATCTAGAATGACCCATCATGCCCCTTAAAATCTAGAATGACCCATCATGCCCATTAAAAATCTAGGAATGACCCATCATGCCCCTTAAAATCTAGAATGACCCATCATGCCCATTAAAATCTAGAATGACCCATCATGCCCCTTAAAATCTAGAATGACCCATCATGCCCATTAAAATCTAGAATGACCCATCATGCCCCTTAAATCTAGAATGACCCATCATGCCCCTTAAAATCTAGAATGACCCATCATGCCCCTTAAAATCTAGAATGACCCATCATGCCCCTTAAAATCTAGAATGACCCATCATGCCCCTTAAAATCTAGAATGACCCATCATGCCCATTAAAATCTAGAATGACCCATCATGCCCCTTAAAATCTAGAATGACCCATCATGCCCATTAAAATCTAGAATGACCCATCATGCCCATTAAAATCTAGAATGACCCATCATGCCCATTAAAATCTAGAATGACCCATCATGCCCCTTAAAATCTAGATGACCCATCATGCCCCTTAAATCTAGAATGACCCATCAATGCCCCTTAAAATCTAGAATGACCCATCATGCCCCTTAAAATCTAGAATGACCCATCATAGCCCATTAAAATCTAGAATGACCCATCATGCCCCTTAAAATCTAGAATGACCCATCAGGCCCATTAAAATATTAGAATGACCCATCATGCCCATTAAAATCTAGAATGACCCATCATGCCCCTTAAAATCTAGAATGACCATCATGCCCCTTAAAATCTAGAATGACCCATCATGCCCATTAAAATCTAGAATGACCCATCATGCCCCTTAAAATCTAGAATGACCCATCATGCCCCTTAAAATCTAGAATGACCCATCATGCCACTTAAAATCTAGAATGACCCATCATGCCCCTTAAAATCTAGAATGAACCATCATGCCCATTAAAATCTAGAATGACCCATCATGCCCTTAAAATCTAGAATGACCCATCATGCCCATTAAAATCTAGAATGACCCATCATGCCCATTAAAATCCTAGAATGACCCATCATGCCCCTTAAAATCTAGAATGACCCATCATGCCCATTAAATCTAGAATGACCCATCATGCCCCATTAAAAATCTAGAATGACCCATCATGCCCCTTAAAATCTAGAATGACCCATCATGCCCCTTAAAATCTAGAATGACCCATCATGCCCATTAAAATCTAGAATGACCCATCATGCCCATTAAAATCTAGAATGACCCATCATGCCCCTTAAAATCTAGAATGACCCATCATGCCCATTAAAATCTAGAATGACCCATCATGCCCCTTAAAATCTAGAATGACCCATCATGCCCATTAAAATCTAGAATGACCCATCATGCCCCTTAAAATCTAGAATGACCCATCATGCCCATTAAAATCTAGAATGACCCATCATGCCCCTTAAAATCTAGAATGACCCATCATGCCCCTTAAAATCTAGAATGACCCATCATGCCCATTAAAATCTAGAATGACCCATCATGCCCATTAAAATCTAGAATGACCCATCATGCCCATTAAAATCTAGAATGACCCATCATGCCCATTAAAATCTAGAATGACCCATCATGCCCATTAAAATCTAGAATGACCCATCATGCCCATTAAAATCTAGAATGACCCATCATGCCCCTTAAAATCTAGAATGACCCATCATGCCCATTAAAATCTAGAATGACCCATCATGCCCATTAAAATCTGGAATGACCCATCATGCCCCTTCAAGCCACCGTCAGCAATCCGTACCCACCCGGGACATCGGACGGTCTCGCCCCCCTCCCCCTGGACGTGGTTCGCGGAGGGCGCGCCAGACGACGACGATGATGATGGAGCGCTCGTCCACTGCTGCCAACGTCGTGTTCACGTAGCCCCTTCGCATCCGTTGCGTGTTTGAGCCATTTAAGTATCACTTAAAAGACATCACTCTACGTAGCATAAATTAGACGTTTACATTATTTTGTATTTGAAGGTGAATTTTTACAAAAAAATGTGGCTTGTTTTAATGTTTGTTTTAATGTACAGTACTGTGATACTCTATTGAATAGTACATTGATTCGTTCTAATTGTGCATTATGACATTAATGTGTTTTGTTTGTATTTGGTTTTTGACGTTAGCTCGACATTTCCCTGGCTGTATGCATGTATTTTCGCTTTAAATTTATAACTAATATACTGTATACTGTAGTCCAGTAATGTATAGCATTTTCATCACTGTTGTGTGCATGCGCAGTAACTACTTTTATTTCGAGATTATAACAAAAAACATAAGATAACTAGTGGATGCCGCCAAAGGATATCCTGTACTTTTATATATTCGCAGTGAAGTGAACTTGATAACAGCATAGTACTTTTACCGAACACCAACCGTGGTCATCTCACTACCGTGCTCACATTTACAGCAGTATCACATTACAGCGATAAACGACTTGGATTTACGATTTTGATTGAATATAAACACTGTGCGTATTGTGCATAATAATAACAACGATGATGATGATGATCTGTCTTCCGTCAAGCGCCCACACCGTCGGGCGCTTCTATCAGTAAATTTCTTTCTCGTCACGATAACATTACAACAGTGTCAATTACACACTAGCCACGGCAAAATTAGTAAAACAAACTTATCGGTGGTACCAGTAGCAGTGTTGTTAGCGGCAATATTTATATTTCGTGTGATTGTGTGTTTTGAGTTAGTCTTTTAAGCGCCTCGAGAGATAACGGGACCCCGAAGCGGGCCGCTGGCTCGGGTGAAGCCTACGCTCTTGCCTGAGCGGCTCGGCCGTGGAGGTTCGGGGGAGCCGGGGCCATGGGCGCCCTGACGAGCCGGCAGCACGCAGGCGTGGAGGAGCTCGACATCCAAGCCAACGCTTTCTACAGATACCCACCAAAGACGGGTGATTATTTGTTATTTATATCACTGCAGCGATGTAATCGTTATTATATACGACGGAGTGCATGTGAACATTACATCGCTTCTCAACCCTTACGGTTTAACCACGTATTCTTCTTGATTTGAAGCGTAATCTTGTACAGGGGCATTTAGTTCCAAACAGCGCACAGCCGTATCAATACGGACAACAACAAACACTGTTTGTGTTTCTCCCTTGCGATGGGACTTTGTAGGATGAACGTTGAGATTTATAAGGGCACGGGGTGACCTATACGGTCCGAATTGGTCGGTAATAAGGGAGGGCACTGATAATGGTTTGACAGCTGTGTAGTGTATAGTGTGTAGTAGTGTAGTTTATAGGATTAACTTTGAGATTTATAAGGGCACGGGGTGACCAATAAGGCCTGAATTGGTCTGTAATAAGCTAGGCATTGATAAGGGGTTGACAGGTATGAGATTATCACGAGAGTGATAGACACCACGAATCACCATCGTTATCAACTTCATGACTATAATCAGGATGATGACCACTGTAATATTCATTATCTAAAAAGTGTTAACATTGCAGCATTGATGAACAGCACTATAATTGTGATCATTACCGATATCGTCACCACGGAAACTAGTTATTACGATCACCACAATTATATGTAATCATCGACAGCGATAATGATAATATGCATAATTACCGAAATCATCATCACGCCAATTATAACCATAATAACTCTCGTCATGGTCATCATGCGAAGATTGCGGACATCACCACGCCAGTGATCAACATCACATCAGAGTAATCACCAGCATCATTACCAACATCATCACCACGGCAGTTATAATTATAACATCATCGTCACATCATCGTCACAAGCTAATCACTCAGTTATTTCAATGCTAAATTATCCTGTTTGATTTGTACTAGGTGCCTCTGTGGATGTGTAAGCTTTGACTTTAACATAGCTACTTATATGACCAGTCACAAGCTAATCACTCAGTTATTTCAATGCTAAATGCTCCTGTTTGATATGTAAACCCCTTTGTCAAGGTGCCTCACTTCCCTAAACCAGCTTAAAAAGACGCTACGAATCTTAACAACGTTCATTGAAGCTCTGTCTTCCCGACAGGTCTGTTCCTTTCACCTGAAGAAGGCCACTTGTGTTGTGGCCGAAACGTCGTGAAAATTTTATTGTGTTATTTATATTTTCTTAATTTATTATTTTATTCTCATTCTACGTGACTTTACCGAAAGAACCAAAGAAGATGAATCCTTGCAGTCACGAAAGCTTTACATCGAAATGTGCACACTATTTGTTATAATGCACTATTCTCTATGTGTGGTCAATGGGCATTCCTATGCAGTGCTCCATGTGTGTTTTGTAGTGTACGCTCCGCGGTGCTTATGCACTACTGGTACACTTGTTGTGAGTGAACGTCATGGCAGGGGTAATGCGTCTCCATGTCACATGAGCACGCGAAAAGCCCGCACAAAAACACCACCGGTAATTCTCCGCCGTGTACGTAATGTTGGTGGTGGCTTATTCACTCGGTCATGGGAGCTCACAGCCATTCTTCAGCGTTTGGCAGGTTCAACCGTTGCTACTGCTGTATTGTATTCCTCATTGTCAGTGTTGGTAACATATCGCCGCCTTGTGATACGTGGTCTCAGATTAACTAAGGTAGGTTAGGGGGTATTTTGTTACCTTTAGGACACTAAAATAAGAAAAGAAACCAGTGCAGAATGTACCCAGTGTGCGTCTGCACGCAATTAATTTCACGCTGTGTGCTGTGATGTATATTTGGATGAGTGTCACATTTTTTGCATGTATTGTCAAGTTTTTATGCCATGTATTGGTAATACATTGCTGTGATTACCACAGTATTTACTGTTGACACATAAACCATGGCAAAAAGGTCACCCAAAGTTCTATATATAATATAAACAAATGCTTTGCTTATCCATAATACAGGATTCTTGGGGTTTGCTTATACTTGCTTATTATACTAAGCATATTGACTGTAAATGTGGTAGCTTGGGACAAAATATGCTTAATATTCTCACGTGAAAAGTAATCAATGCTGTGTGACAGAATTAGTTTTTTAGCTAATCAAACCGTATTTGATGTGGTGTGCTGTGAGTACAATAATGAGCCAATTAATATGTACAGTACTGAACTGTATATTTCTGCAAGTAAATGGCAGTTGGTTAATTGGCTTTATCTTTAATAATGGAAAACCTAACACACATCCGATGCCAAATATCTTGTATTTAAAAGGCTCCATAGACAAACTGAACATTAAGCCACAACAATTCTATATAATTTACAAGCCCCAGCCAACACGTGAATCGCCACGGTGCATCAGGAGAGGTATTTCCGGCCTGAATAAAGGACTCGCTTCAAGACTCATGTCGATCAATGTAACATGCTGTGCTTTGTTCTCGCGTAGGCAATTATTTTGCAAGCCATTTCATAATGGGCGGAGAGAAGTTTGAGACAAGTACTCCTGAAGGTTATTTGTTTGGAGAAAATACAGATCTCAACTTCCTGGGAAACAGGCCAGTACCGGTAAGTTCTGCTGTATTCACCTCTCATTATCAATGGTTACATCACCTGGGGTTAACAGGTTTTCAACTTTGTCCATTGCTCCCAAGGATTGTCACATGCAATTTTGTGCAAGTACATTCAGTATGTGTATATATGTATGCCATGCAGTATACCGTACTCTGTTCACCGTATAGCACGTTTAACAAAACTGTTTACTGTACAACATCCATGCATGATGATGGGATATACAATTTATAGATATTTTACTACATGTTATATATAATCACAAGATATAGAATATATGATTTGTGTAATGTATTTAAATGTATTAAGCACATTCACTCAGTGCACTGGATCCTCTTGAAAGACATGATAGCTCTAAATAATTCAGTACTTTGACATTTGAATAATGTATCAGCCTAGACAAAGTACTCTCATCTTACTTCCTGCTGTGTAACAGCTGTTACAGCTCTGCTTCGGTCTGGAGCACACAGATGCATTCATAAGACAGTACACAATACTCATAACAATGTCATTGTATTGTTTTCTATTCGTTCAACATATTTGGCATGTTTTATGTGAACTCTAAAGGAAAATACTTTCTACTTTGAAGCAATTTTGTATCAACTGCCTGTGTTGCTGACTTATTGTTAGCATCAGTAAAGTTGCGTGAAGCTCCCTCTTATATGGCCTCTGGTGGTTGCAGCTGGCAAGTGAGCTGTTAAGAGATGTCCTGCCTCTGTCCTTCTTCACTCCTTCGTGAAATGTTAGCATTCATCCTACCGTCTCCATACCTTTTACCTTTGCATTGAGGTTCACCGATTGTAAGATGTGTTTTTCCCTCATTTGAAAGTGTCGTATCCCTACATTTGGTCTACTTCTACGTATTGTTGAGGCATCCATTTGTTGGGGCATACATTTTAATTGTTTGGTTCGAATGTGATGTTATCTGGGCAACATTAACTGAAGTAATTGTCAATCCTAGAATTCAGTGTTTCATTCCCAGAGGGACTAAGGATCATACTCATGACCAACAACTCTCTCTCTCGGTCATAGGAAAAAGGTTACCACTATTTAAATGCATGAGGCTCTCTTTCTTCCTCACCTCCAAGTTTATGTCTCTCCAATCAGTCTCAGTTCAACAAGGTTTGGTTTGCCAGACAGATTCCATGTATCGTTTATAGCCAGAGTTAAACTCAGAAGATGGTGATTTTCTCATATCCAGTTCTAGCACCCTCTGTCCACCTTCCCAGCCAGTGCCATGGCTGATGGAACAAGAGCTGCTATGGACTGGGAGCCATGATATATATGTGTGACTGGGATGAGGGTTTTTGGACTATATTTCACCACACCGGTCAGTGCTGGTTGGTGAAGGGGGGGCCCTGGTCTGGTTCGGATATCACTTGTCATTATTCTTAGTCATGGCTGGGAATTGACTGCAGGTTCATAATTTGGTGCCCTTATCACTGAAACCACTCCATCGTATTTACAGCATTTTTAAATGACATTTAATACAGTAAAATATACTGTACACCCATATACAGTACTTTACAGGGCAGTATAAATATTTAGACATGTGTTTAGACATCACTGACGTTTACTGAACGTGTTCAATTTATTTATAATGCCGATATGACATTGTAATGCCACATTTTGCATGAATTCTGTGATCAAAGCTGTTGGCATATTTTCAAATCTTGCAAAGATGTTGAAGGGAGCGTTCTTCAGATGGCTGTGTGTACTTATCTGCACGAGCGTTGTTTTGGTAGTGATTACTTGGGAGAAGGATGAGGTGTTTTCAGTTTCAGGGTCTGTCTCGCGCAGCCAGAAACCAGACGCAAATAAACCATACAAAGAAAAGCAATGCCTGAACGTGACCAGATTTCATTTGAAAAAAATATATCAGCTGTAAATGCTGTTAACTCGAATGCACTGAAAAATCATGATGGATTGTATATGTTAATATTGATAAGTTTAACATTTCAGATGTTATGAAGTCACATATTTTAAAATCCACTTTGAATTCCTGCTGAGGCGTAAACATGTTTAATAATATTTGGGCCGTCAATTTAATATTTTTATTTTCCAGTTTCCTTACCCTGCACCTCCACCCCATGAGCCCGTCAAGACTATACGCAGCCTCGTAAACATCAGGAAAGATTCGCTACGTCTCGTCAGGTGAGTCTGTCCATAGCAGAAGAACAGGGCAGGCATCTGCTGCAGCACCATTTACAAACAGGGCAGTCAGTAACTGCTGCATGCTGGGTTGCACAGTGACAACTTGCTGGTTTTTACCTCGAAAACAAAATATTGCAATGCAGTTTTGTATGCATCATAACCAAATGTTAGAAATATATTTATTTGCTTTGCTACTGCACAGTGCACTTGCCATGCAAGCAGATTCATGTTGTTTTAGGTCATACATAATGATGACTGCAGTTGAAATAGTTAAGTAAAGGAAGTACAATAATTTACATGAGAATTCTAAATATTGTTTTGCAGCAGTTATTTTCATCATAATTCACGTGAGAGCTCATTCAAATAACATCTAGTAATAAAAAGGCGACTCAGGAGAATACAAGCTCCTGGCTACATGAAGTCGTAAAAGGGTTGTGATAAATCATTATAAAATACATTCACCTTTTTATATGTGGTGCAGTAAATTGTATAAAATTGTCAACGCACTTGTGCCTTCTTCGCATCATTCCCTGCATCATTGCATCAGAAGCCAAATGCCGAAGCTGCGCATTGCACTTAGTAATCCTCAAAGCCAGTCTTGACGTTGGGTGTTGTAATCCAGCTCCAGGATATGTTCTAAGCTGTTTCAAGGTTGCCGGCTATGCTGAGCTTCCTGCTTCATTTAATCGGCAGCACTGTGTGCCGAACATTTTTTTGTGGTTGTGGGAGAAATGCAAATGTGGCATGTTCCAGGTATCCACAGCTCGGATTCATGTAATGCATACGAGAACAGAATGTTCAACCTTTTCAGCAGTGAGTGATGTGTTCAAGTCTTGGCTTTGAGCCAATCTTTGCTGCAGCATTCGAATTTTTGCCTTTGCACTATTTACGTTTACAGTCAGCATAGTATTGTTGTACAAATGCACGACTGATAAAATACAGGGTTCTCTTGTTGGCATTGCACACACCGTACACTGTCTAGGATATGTTTTCATCATAGAGAGGGAGCCACTGCAAGTAAGTTGGCATGGCAACCAAGAGAGAGGTTGCTAATGGGAGCCCGGTAACCAGAGAGATGTGCCATCTCAAATAAAGCCCTTTGTCTAAAAACTAAAGCATAATTAAACGCCACGTGGATTTTATTTTCTTAAACTGTTATTGTATGGAAATTCGTTGGGGTAAAATTGTCAGACATATAGTTCTTATCTGGAGCTGTGGTTTTGCAACGAATGTGTGTAAATAGCAATTAAACATGTTTTTGTTTTTGTCTCCCAGGATTACAGATGAAGCAGAAACTCCTAATGCCGATTCATTAAAATCCGAATTCAGCTACAACGTAGAGTTTGTGTTTGACTCGGATGTGCAGGTGGCCATAACCATCTATTACCAAGCTACAGAGGAATTTCACAATGGCATTATCATGTGAGATATTTTCATTGTCATTAGAAATATTCACACATTTCCATAAACACAATTGTATTATTGTTAAAATTATCAGTTTTCTTCAAACTGATTTGAATATACGTATAATTTTTCCTTTAAATCATTACTAAACATTGTTATTTATAGTTGCATGCAACTACTTAAAATATGAATATGTTTAATTTGATACTCTGTATTTTTATTCAAAGTATTTATGAATAATTTGGAGAAAACAAATCCTCTGTACAATTCATAGTCAGCCACAGCAATTGAGTGATTTTTTTTATTTTCAAGCAAAAAAAATATAAGGGCTACTCTTCCACTTTTGTGGTGCGGGGTTGTCCATGATTGCTACTTATCCATTTTCCTGCACCTGTATAGACTGCATTCTTCAAGCATTATGGCTTTCCATCTCGGTTAATTTCTCTCCTCTCACTTTTGCTTTCAGGTATACGGCAAAGCATCACCTGCGTCAATCAGAGACGGTTCTCTGCAAGGGAGGAGTGAGCCAACTCTTCTCCCAGACATCGCATGTCATTGACCCCTCTGAGTGGAACCCAGAAGAGGTTAATCATTGTTGTTTTACATCTTACCCAGCAAAATCCATACCCTTAATGCGGAGGAGTGCACGCCACGCTGCTCCAGATAATCATGCGTTTGTATTCGCCAGACCTCCCCGTTTTCTCCCCTGCTGTGGTCAAGGCTGGTTGCATATAAGCAAACTTAAGACTTTCACACTTGGGACGTAATGGATCCGACTGATTTATCCCAGCTCAAAAGCAGGGTCTCACAGTCCCGTGAGTATGATTCTCGTGTTAGGGAAAAAAGGGAAAACATGGGTAAGTGCCCAAAGGAGTTGGCCAAACAGCACAGGAAAGTATAGAGTGGCCAGGCTTGTGCAAACATTGCACAAGTAAACCCAATAAACCCGACTACCCCGTATAACTTGACAAGGTTTTCATCTTGTACAAATCATCAGAGTAGCATTTGTTAATTATATGGTGAGTGTTATTCGTTGGGCATGTTGTGAATCAAGTGACATTTTTACATAGGTGTTTTCGAGGCTGCAAGTAGTCATGCACCCAAGGGACACTGAAATCCAGATTAGGGCTGGTGGAGTTGATTCAACCGGGGAGATGTAATGATGAGCATACATACACTTTGTTTCATTTTTGTTTCAGAAGTAAAAGTTACATTTGGTTCTGTTGCATTAATTTCTGGTTCAGTGAGTTTTGCATCCGAGGGTAAATATGTGGGCCTTGGTAAATTAAAAAAAGTTTTTAGTTCTGTAGTTTTTAGTTCATATAACATTTCAGAATCGTTCTTTGACTTTTTTTGGGAATAACTAGCAACGTGCATGTCTGTCCAGCCCAGCCAGCCAGCCAGCAAAACTTGTTAAAAATAATATACTATGATTGGAACAAAACAGAACAGAACCTACCTGCTTACTAAATTTAGTTAAATAAAACAATGTTGTCGGCTGAATATGATTTGTGAGTTAACTACATGTTTTAAATTAGTTTTACAAAAATAATCACGCATAGATCGACTTGAAAACATTGCCATATTGTGCGCCCTTGTGCTCATAACATGCCTAAAGTTGGTGCACGCTATGCAGCATGTGCTACACACTGAAGAGAGACAGATGTCATAATTTACTGATGCCAACAACTACAGGAACAGATGTCATTGCTACCTATGGTAAACACAGGAGGCGATGTCACCAAATGCTTACAATTTATGTTTGTACATTCCAAAAAAAAATATTGAGCAAAAAATATGATTCATAATATTCCAGCCCATTTTTTATTCAATTTTTTTTTTGAATTTGACGTTCCATTTATTGTTCTATTCCATGAATTTCAGTCATTCTGGAACGTGCCTTTGTAATATTTGTCTTTCTATTCCCCATGTCTGGATTTAGCATGAATTTACCTTTTGGTGAGCATGATTAGCAGCCCTTAACATATCCTCTTACTGTACATTTCAGCTGACCTTTGACTTGGAGCGTGATGTTTACCCCATGGTGATCCATGCGGTTGTGACGGAGGGGGAAGGTAAGGTCGTGGTTGTTACAAATGGTTACCCATGGGCTTCTTGGAATTATATATTTTTTACTATTGCGAATAGGATTTTTCGAGTTGGTGGCAGTATGTGTCTCGCGTACATATTGGAGGGTTTGTCTGCAACACTTATGATAATATATTGTAGCATATGTGTAATACGCATGGCTGAAGTGTAATGTGCGCCAAATAGTTGTTTTATGATGCAAATAATGACAATTATTTACAATAAGACTTGTCCTTAAATTCACATTTAATATAACACCCAGGCATATATGTTGTAGTCTCTGAGAGGTAGCTACAGTGAGGGAAAAAAGTATTTGATTCCCTGCTGATTTTGTACGTTTGCCCACTGACAAAGAAATAATCAGTCTATAATTTTAATGGTAGGTTTATTTGAACAGTGAGAGACAGAATAACAACAAAAAAATCCAGAGAAACGCATGTCAAAAATGTTATAAATTGATTTGCATTTTCCTGTATAAAAGACACCTGTCTACAGAAGCAATCAATCAGATTCCAAACTCTCCACCATGGCCAAGACCAAAGAGCTCTCCAAGGATGTCAGGGACAAGATTGTAGACCTACACAAGGCTGGAATGGGCTACAAGACCATTGCCAAGCAGCTTGGTGAGAAGGTGACAACAGTTGGTGCAATTATTCGCAAATGTAAGAAACAAAAGAACTGTCAATCTCCCTCGGCCTGGGGCTCCATGCAAGATCTCACCTCGTGGAGTTGCAATGATCATGAGAACGGTGAGGAATCAGCCCAGAACTACACGGGAGGATCTTGTCAATGATCTCAAGGCAGCTGGGACCATAGTCACCAAGAAAACAATTGGTAACACTACGCCGTGAAGGACTGAAATCCTGCAGTGCCCGCAAGGTCCCTCTGCTCAAGAAAGCACATATACATGCCCGTCTGAAGTTTGCCAATGAACATCTGAACGATTCAGAGGACAACTGGGTGAAAGTGTTGTGGTCAGATGAGACCAAAATGGAGCTCTTTGGCATCAACTCAACTCGCCGTGTTTGGAGGAGGAATGCTGCCTATGACCCCAAGAACACTATCCCCACCGTCAAACATGGAGGTGGAAACATTATGCTTTGGGGGTGTTTTTCTGCTAAGGGGACAGGACAACTTAACCGCATCAAAGGGACGATGGACGGGGCCATGTACCGTCAAATCTTGGGTGAGAACCTCCTTCCCTTAGCCAGGGCATTGAAAATGGGTCGTGGATGGGTATTCTAGCATGACAATGACCCAAAACACACGGCCAAGGCAACAAAGGAGTGGCTCAAGAAGAAGCACATTAAGGTCCTGGAGTGGCCTAGCCTGTCTCCAGACCTTAATCCTATAGAAAATCTGTAGAGGGAGCTGAAGGTTCGAGTTGCCAAACGTCAGTCTCGAAACCTTAATGACTTGGAGAAGATCTGCAGAGAGGAGTGGGACAAAATCCCTCCTGAGCTGTGTGCAAACCTGGTGGCTAACTACAAGGAACGTCTGACCTCTGTGATTGCCAACAAGGGTTTTTCCACCAAGTACTAAGTCATGTTTTGCAGAGGGGTCAAATACTTATTTCCCTCATTTAAATGCAAATCAATTCATAACATTTTTGACATGCGTTTTTCTGGATTTTGTTATTCTGTCTCTCACTGTTCAAATAAACCTAGCATTAAAATTATAGACTGATCATTTCTTTGTCAGTGGGCAAACGTACAAAATCAGCAGGGGATCAAATACTTTTTTCCCTCACTGTACACAGGCAGCTACAATTTTAGGTAGAGAAACTATAATGTCCACATTGTTCAGTTTTTAATCGCTGTGTTAAATACTGACTCGCATCCAAACCTGCAGTTGAGATGACATGGCACAGCGTCGTAACATGTGACGCACATTTATGTTGCTCTGTTGGAGTATGATGGGGCACAGTCCCAAGGAATGGTCAGCGATGCCAACGGAGGCACATTTACTCAAGGTCTGTTGAGACAACATGAGACCGTGTCTCTGGTAATATACACTTGTCAACTAATTAGAAATATTTCGTGATTGTTAGATGTCTGCCTCTGCAATATCAACCCCCTTCATAAAACATGCCCTTGGGATAAAGAGATGTCTGGTCAAGAGACCACATTTTGTGATCATCATATTTTAACTCGTAGTTTGTAGGCAGTGCCAAAAAGGTTATGTTTAGTGACACGATGTACCAGTTCTGTACTGCGTGCACACTAAAGCAAGGTTAGTAAAGTAACTCATTATAAGCAGTCAAAATTTACCGACCTGTTATTGTAGAAGGCAGTTGTGTACGTACACAAACGTACATGTGCAGTTAGTCACGTAGGTATACCTAGGTAGGTATGCCTACGTGACTTTACCGAAAGAACCAAAGAGTAAGTATGTTCACATCAGGAGGTTTTAGGCACGGTTGCAGACATGTTTTGATGTAAAAGAAAACGATCTTTACGATATGCAATGCAATCCAACTTGTATTCATGAATATAATGACCTTGGAGATGGAGGAATGAAATCAATGAATGCGCACTTCCGATTAGCACGGTTGACTATATGTACGGTGCGAAAGAAGTTCAGCATACATGCACACATGGTAGGTAATGAACTGTGAGGGATGGTGATGGTTTGGAGAGGCTTTTATCTAGTAGTGGAAAGAGAACGGCTGATGATAATTAAAATAAGCATGTTTTATTTGTCCAGCGTAATATTTCAGAGACAATGGTACAAGGCCGAGGCCTGTGGCAATCCTCGCTGCTCGTGTATAGAGGCGCAATTTATTGTAATTAGTCTATATGTATATGATGACATTAATATATTAATTACTTAACACGTTCCCCCCCCCCACCCCCCTATTATTGAACATAGTCTTTTTGCCAAATTGTAACCTGGGGAATTCGATTTAGAGTGGGCATTTCACAGTTGCGCAAGTTTCTGTTGCACGGTGCTGAAGACAGCGTGTCACAGCAAGCAACTCGCACCTTGCCAAAACATTGCGTGGCTGGGGAAATGCACGCCATGACGTTTAGAAATGTCATGGCATGCCAAGAGTCATTTAGCATGCTGCTTTGCTCAATGTCAGCGCACTTTTGGGAATATGGGCACAAGTTTGCAAGTGCAATGTTTTTAGTTTTTTGTGTAATGTTTTGTCTTTATGGCTAGAGTATATCGGACATTCCCACGTGCTTCTCGCTACATTTGACAAGGTGAAAACACACGCAGACGCTTTGCACTCGACAGTGTGCTCTCGAGACCAAATGGCTCCCGAGTATTACGTTTTTACCACAGTGTTGATGGCTCTTTGCCGCTCCCTGCAGCACACGGATGGAAGCTTCTTTGTAAAGCCGCTCAAACAGAAACAAGTGGTGAGTAAAAAAAACACCGAATTGTTCTCGATTGCCATTGAACATACATTGGCAGAGCACTGCTTACAAACAATTGCTGCGCGCTGTCTTGCAAAACGCCCGTGCTTTTTTTTAACGTCCATTGACTCGCACGTGGTGATGTTTTGAATTTGGGAACAAGGTGGACGGAGTGAGCTACTTACTGCAGGAAATCTACGGGATTGAAAACAAGGGGAGCGTGCAAGAGCTTAAGGTGAAGTTGTTCATTTTTATTATTGATGTACTTGTGAAGTTGATGTATTCTTCCCGACGAAAATTGCGCTACAATTACAACAGTGAAATTTGCATTTTATAACATTTCGTTAATATGTAAGTGTGAACACTTTAATCTCAAGTACAAAAAGATGGTCTCTTCACAAATTTTCACTAAAATGTAGCAGCGGTGACCACAGTGAAAAACAAAGCATTGTCAACCAAAGTGATCGCATGTCAGCATTTTATTAAATGGTCATATCCTGTAAATAGTACATGAAGCACATTGGAGAGTAAGGTATGTTGAAGGAAAACATGTAAAATTAGTGTTTAAATATTGTAAATTTAAGTACAGTGAAATGCTGTATTGGTAAAGGAATAGAACTATTCTGTGTTACGTAGTATACTTAATTGTTACATAAGTGGTTTGATGAATAGTCATAATTGGGGGGTCAAGATTCAATAAAAAAAATGTTTCTTTATTAATCTAATTTATATTTTCTCCCGTTCTTCGTTTGTAATGACTCATTCATTACATTAGTCTACATATAAAAATGTAATATTATCTTCATATAATTTGCGTAAACCGGAGCAATAACAAATTCTTGCATGTACAATTTTGACTTAAAACTTTCGTGACTGCAGGAATTCATATTCTTGGTTCTTTCGGTAAAGTCACGTAGATAGAAATGATGAAGACCTCTTGTGTTGCGATCGAAACGGCGTGGGTTTTTTGGTTTTATTTTAATTTTATTTTCTATCTACGTGACTTTACCGAAAAAAAACAAGAATATGAATTCTTGCATGTGCAATTTTATGCATGCATCGTGAGTGTAAAAATGTTTATTAATCGGTGAATCTTTGCATGGGTAATGCAAACGAGAGATTTGGGAATACAGGCGTGGTATAAATCTGTGGACAACTCTGTCTGGATGTAGATATATGTTGAACTGTATACGCACTGTACGTAGCCAACCGTGCCAATCAGGTGCGCGAGGAAAGACCACAAACTAAACGTAAACATCAGTTCTAAAGAAATTAGTTTTCAATTTAGATTTAAAACTGTATCGCTCCAGTGGCTTCCTGAGAGTCTGGGAAAGGGGTTGGCAACTTGCGGCTCCGGAGCTGCAAGCTGTTCTTTGCGGACTCGTTGGTGACGTAACCTATGTTTGTATTCACATGCGGCTCTTGAAATATTGAGTTTTGCACCAAATTCGAAAAATAATTGGCTCTTTGTTATTTTTTGGTTGCCGACCCCTAGGTCCAGGCCCTGTTTAACGTTCTCGGCATCTTCCTTTGTGCACCGTGGTTGTTTCCTCTCTAGACGTGTGAAGATGACATCAGCGACAACAGCACGGAGTGCGTCGTCTGCCTGTCGGACATCCGGGACACGCTCATCCTGCCGTGCCGCCACCTCTGCCTCTGCAGCGCATGTGCCGACACTCTGCGATATCAGGCTAACAATTGCCCCATCTGCCGGCTGCGTAAGGCAACGCATGCTGTCACCGTAAGGAACGCGTGCCATCACCGTAAGGCATAGTATGCCGTCACAGTAGGGCATAGCGTGCTGTCACCGTACGGCACAGTGTGCCATCACCGTAAGGCGTAGCGTGCCGTCACCGTACGGCACAGCGTGCCGTCACCGTAAGGCGTAGTGTGCCGTCACAGTAAGGCACACGTGCCATCACCGTAAGGCATAGTATGCCGTCACAGTAAGGCATAGCGTGCTGTCACCGTACGGCACAGCGTGCCATCACCGTAAGGCGTAGTGTGCCGTCACAGTAAGGCATAGCGTGCCGTCACAGTAAGGCATAGCGTGCCGTCACCGTACGGCACAGCGTGCCGTCACCGTACGGCACAGCGTGCCGTCACCGTACGGCACAGCGTGCCGTCACCGTACGGCACAGCGTGCCGTCACCGTAAGGCGACGGAATTACTGTCACCTTCACAAACGTGGCCCGTCGGCTTGCTCGCACTCCTTCTATCAGTCTGCGTCCGGGGAATGCAACGTTTTACCGAGCTTATGTGAATTATTTTATCGCTTATTATAATTTCAATCGCCATACAACATATGCTTCAAAGTGCCTTATAAAACATTGGTCGTATATTTGGAATTGTTTCTTGACTTGTCCGCATTCTAGTGCACGTGTATTTTTGTCTTCTATTACCAAACTTAAAAGAGCCCTTATAGATGATAGCAAACGCATGTTGGAAGGCGTTGCAGAATCCACGTGTAAGCATGATTATTTCCTTCCTCTCTTTTCATCTTTGCAGCGTTCCGCGCGCTGCTGCAGATCAGGGCCATGCGCAGGAAGTCGTGCTCAGTCGCAGCGGTCAGCTACAGCCCCGTGCTGGCCTCGCAGTCGTCCGACAACGACGAGCGCACGGTAAGACCCACACATCCGGACGAATTGGAACGCCCTTGGCTCTCGATGACGCAACTGCTGACAACGTGTATTTGCGTACGAGCGAACAGTGAATCAAACTGGCATTCAAAATGCTCATCGATGTGACGAGCACTCGCTTTTTTTTGTATACACGGGGTAAAATGTAAAATGTATATCCGGCACACATTTAAGGTTACACCATTATAACAGTCCTCACGTGGTCATGCGTATCGGCTATATGAAATGGGAGAAAACAAATCTAGATCGGATATATTTGCATTTAAAAATGCTCACTATTACAACTGTATTATTACATTTTCCTCTAATTTCCTTTATTATTTTTTTCTAAATTTTCTTTGGGAAGCTAGCATGCTTTCATAGACCCTGTGATATATAAGGGATGCAATTAATTTAAAGCCTTAATCTGGGTGAGGAGTTGGCGTGATGTTAACTACCTCGTCTGGTATACAGCAGGTCGTGGGTTCAAACCCGACGCTGAGGCCTGCTGTATATTTGGAGTTTGCGTGTCTCTCTCCCCGTGGTCGCGAAGAGTTTTCTCCGGGTGCCCTGGTTTTTCCCTCCACATTTAGACTCAAAATCACGCATTTAGATTATTTGCCCTCTATACATTTCCACGTGATGATAATCCCCTTTGATGTTGAGTTATTATTTGAGATAGCCAGGTCCTTCTGAAAAAAAGAGCTACAAAGCTCAGTGGACCTTACCCCGTAAAATAAACATGGATTATAGTTTATTTTTTATAGTTTTTTTTTCCCCCTTGCCTGTCCTTCACAGAGCTGCGAGCAGGTGCACATGGGCTACGAGGTGATGTCGCTGCTCGAAGCTCTCAACGGACCGCTCTCGCTATCCATGCCGGCGGGTCCCCCGCCCGTGGCACACGAGGGCAACTTCCCGAGCCTGCCCTCGTCCTCCTCCCTGCCTTCCAGCTTGCCCGTCTCTCCTGCCGGCTCCCTCTCCCGCTCCGGCAGCCGTGACAGCACGCGCAAGAAGCTCACCCCAAAGTGAGAGCAGAGAGAAAAATACGCCTTGTAAAGAGTACAGGGAGGAACGGTACTACGTGCAAGGTTGAAAGTGTTTATGCATTACCTGTGTCCATCTGTGTGTCCGATCGTACGATGGAGTCACGATAAGTCGAAATGTTGACCCAATGCAAGTTAAGTTTTCGTATGAAGTTCCGTTGCGGATATGGACTCCATAGAAAACTGGCCACATTGATCAAAGGGTTGCTCCAAACTTGGCGATGCTTTAAAGCTTTCTCTACGATGCGTGAACACAAAGCAGGTGGTGGTTGGTGAAAAAGGTTAATCTGTGTGCGTAGGACCTTGTCCCGAGACTCGTCGGTCATCAGGGATGACGATGAGAAAGACGAGGAGACGGACCTGCGGGCGTCCTGCCACCGTTCCGTCACGTGTTCCCTGCGCAACATCACGCTCCTGCAGGTGAGCACACAGTTCTAATAATTGCAGCAACAGAAATGTGAATTTATAGTCGCCCTTCGCATGGTCACCTTGCACGATTTACACCCTTCGTTTGTTGTCTTTGAATGTTACAACCTGCAGCTGGGTCAGGTAGTGGTTTTTTAAATGTTGTTTGTTGGGTGATGGCTTGGGGGCAGCGAGGTTCGAGGCACTGACCCAATGCTTATGAAAGTTTCTGGGTTTAAGCCCTTGTGCGGACAAGCAAAAATTTGCCCTCGTCATGCCATTCTGAAGGAGGGTTTTGCCTGCGTTGGGCTTGATGGTTGTGGTTGCAAACTGGACATCTGTGGTACGGATGGTTTTTGCTTCAGCAATAAGCGATATAATCTTTCACCCTTTTAAAAATGCTTTGATTTAGCACGATTTTTGCACAGCCTCACAGCACCCACAGCATTTACTGAGACTATTATCATCTGCAGACTACCAGGCTATCCATCGCCTTCCTGTACCTATAGCAGTTGACAGGGCTTGATAAACCTCGAAACATTTCTTTGCACTGGCCCTACAAAAGATGTTGCTCACCAGCTATTCTGCGTATAAGTTTGTTCTATCGCGGCAGCGTGGTGCTGATGTTCCCCGTGCATATTCAAAATTTATCCTGCACAATATCCATGCCGCAGCCTACAGGTGCACGCGACCCACATCCATGGAACTCTGCATTACAGACCGTAGGTCCTGGCTTTTCGGGAGGCGGCCTTCAGCAGGACGGTGCCCTCCACTTTCATTCATATAAGTGCTGCCCCCACTCCTACTAGTCAGAATTTATTTTGGCAAGCATATCCATGGGTAAATAACGTAGGTGCTTGCCAGGCTGCAAAAAGAGGTATTAAAACAACATCGATTCATAAGTGGAATTGAGCAATGCGATGTGATTTGAATGTGGAATTTGACTTAATATTTTCATAGATGCATTCTACAACTGTAATAATTGGTAAGTCATGCATGAATTATAAAATGCTTCCAAGGTATCTCTGCCTGATACTGTGGTTTGAGCCATCGTGTTCTTTCTCCACGCCCACTTTACACAAGGACTGTGGAGTCACTCCAGAACACGAGAACATCACTGTGTCTTCCGGACCCATGGACCCATCCTCCTGCACCATAACACCTTCCTCTTCTTTGCTCACCTCACCAGAAGGTTCGTACTTGAAGTCCCATAATTCTAGAAACATGCTGCGTGTAAATTGCAGTTTCGCCCATCACTTTTTTTACATCGTACTTTCGGACAGCAGTAGGAATTTTTTCATCACGCCAAGTGTTTCCTAATTCTATTGCGATCCAGAGGAGTTCCTAAGCGGATCAGCTAAACCCGGTACGAAAACAAAAACTCTCCACGATGTTAATTGTTTAAATTGTTCCCCTGGCGCAGACCAGTTCAGTAGCAGCCTACCGCACTCGGCCATGTCGCTAGCGTCGTCCCTGAGCCACCGCTCGCGGCTCACGGCGGACACGCTCTCAACGCTGTCGGCCTCCTATCCAGTTGTGACGGACGACGAGGGCGAGGGGCCACCCACGCCGCCCGGCGAGCCACGGGTGAGTGTGCGACGACCCTCATCCCGGAGCTGACCCCTGAAACAGAGCTGTATAGCTCAGTGGGCTTTACCTTGTAAATAAAAGAGGGTTTTTTTGTTCCTCTGTTACAATGAGTTATATCGTCGTGATTCACAGATTTGTTTTTTTTACTGTTTTACGCAAGCAGATTGCCTCCGTGCGCAGCTTGCTAGTGACATCCTTCATGGCTGGAAGAAAGAGTGACGTAACTTGTCACCAGTGGGATAGCAGTCTACCGAGAGCATGGTCTCATTCAAATCTTTCGGATACCAACACTGCTACCACGAATGCTGCTTCACGATATAGTTATCTCGGTGAACACGATATTAAGTATATAAGTTGCTGTACTCAAACCACTCATGTTTTCTCAGTGTCTGACAATGATCTTCCTTGAACAGGAAAATGTTTTTTTAGAGGAAGGTGATTCTGCAGCAGAAGGAGAAGGTATTGGAGAAGGTATTTTTACATTCAATCTTTCACTTGCATAATCCCATTCAGCAAAATGCATGTTTTTTTTATTTCATCAATATAAATGATGTTGTTGAAAATTATTTCAGTTTAATTTGTATGCTTCAGATGCTTCCATAGCTTTACAGCAACAAAATCGCAATTTCCCTGATAAATGTACAAATAAACACTATTGATGCCACATTTTATCTGGTGCCCAGCTGTTCCCCCGCTGGCATTGGGATAGCGTCACGCTCTCTCTTTCGGAATTGGTTTCCTCACTTCTTAACGTTCAGTGATTCGGACAGCGGTGGTTACATTTTCGCCGCAGAGGACGGCTTTAACGTAACTTGCATTGGGCCGCGCCAGTGAGCGTTTCGGTTGTGCGACCGTGTTGGGCCTGCGTGGCCTTTTCCGCGGCGGACGTCCGAGCTTGACGTCGGCGCCTTGTCTTGTGTGCCTCCTGCCTTGCAGGCTGGCACGGTAGAACGGTAAGGGGACTGTTCCTCCCCGCCAACAATAACAACACCACGGTGGTTGAGGTGGAAAGTGGCCACAGCGTGTGGGATGCCTTGCCTGGTGAGTGAGTGCACTTTGACGGCAAGCTCGCAGCTTAAGCCTGCCTCTCTGCTGCTCACCCTTCTGCCACGAGGCTTTGGTCACTTCAGCAGGAGGCCTGCCTTTGATTACGCAGCCGCTGGTGGGAACGCTTTTACACCCGGTGGATCTGACTTTGGCTGCAAGGCTCGGCTTTAAAATTGCATGGTAATTGTATGCCAGGGTATGCTTAGTTTTACGTGGCATATAGATCAAATCTAACACATCTCGTATGTGTGTGTCTGTCATAAGTTGTGCGATTCAGCATTATTTTGATCAAATATCAGAAGGCCATCTGCGAGTAATTACTTTAGAGGCTGATTTTACACACATTTTTTATGAACATTTTAAATTTGTACATTTAACAGATTTGTACATTTAAAATATGTGAACTGTGTGGCAGACGAGTAATAGAGAGCATAACGGAGACTTACAGGAAATGTATGTGGGATATGGAGGAGGAGAGCAGATATTTCTTGATTTGACATGATTCCTGCGCATTGCCATTATGGAGAGAATAAAAGTGTTACGTGAATATATGATAGATAAATGAATAACAATTTTCGTGCAAATATCGCAATTTTGAAAACAAATCTGATTGTAAGTGTAAATCAACCTGCACTAACAAACGGTTTCCATGCTACTAATTATTCCATGCATGCATGGCTCAACAAACCCACCCATGGATTGGTACTTGATTAGCATTCATTAAAAATCCTTTGTTAACATTTGCATGGGTTTTTGCAACCTGAGCAAATGCCACACCATCTCTTAATTAATCCCATCATCTATTTTTGAAAACATTGCCATGTTTTTTTTTTATTTTGACCCCCGGTTTCAAGATTACGCTTTAATGCCTGATTGTCTCTCCTCTTCCATCCCCTTCGACGAATCCACATAGTTTCCATGCTGCGAGCTTGCACGTGCACTTCCTCTCCAGATAGCCAACATAACATCGTGATGCATTGCCTGTCCCTGATTTTTTTTCCTTGAAACAATTACTCTCATCCACATTTATATTGTTCTTGTGTTTGTGTGCACGCCTCTTTGCCGATGTTGCATCTGAAACCGGAAGACTTAGCTGTCGTAATAAATCCAAAATAGAGGTTTTTTTGGTTTAGACCGCGTTAATATAAATGCGTCGTTAAACCCGCCAACACCCGACATAGCCGATTAGTAAAGGTTTGTCACGTAAACAGATCATGCCAATTAGTTACAAGTTCAGCACACCAGTGTGTTGGAGAGTAAGCCCACAACATTTAAAGTTATGCAATATAACCCAATAACAACATGTTATGGATAATTTTGGTCGTGAAAGCCTCCGTGTTAAACTGTAGTAAGAAATAACTAACCTCTTTGTAAATAAAATTGACAGGTTGTTCCTCCAAGAAACTGCAATTCATGGTCTGAATATTTTTAAAGAAATAGTGAACCTTAGTATACTGTATGTCACTTTATCATCAATTGAAGCTAAAAAGCGGTTGGCATGCATTTTGTGTTGGTCCTGTGCATTTTTGAAGTTCTGCATCCGGACGTGTGATTGTGCACATGTGGTCAGTGTGCGATAAGCTAATGGTTGCTTTGTGTCATGCAATCTTGAGCAATATGCATCATGCACGTGGGGAGAAACTATTGTGAGGCCGCATAATGACGAACATGTGACCGATGTGCGTGCTCTGCTTTAATAATCTGTCTCTGCGTGGATGCTACTCTTATTTGAAACACTTGATTACCTTTGATACATTGGAATTTAATTTACATTGCAAAAGCATATTATCATCTGAAACTTGATGATGTTGCCCATTACCGAGTCATTCCAGAAATTTGGCTTCGTGTTTAACGTCGCTAAAAATGGACGAACTGTAAATAATGTCCAATGCAAACGACTCAAATTACGTGACAATAACACGACGATTGATGTATGTGGCAACCCACAATTTGTCTGAATTACTGAAATAATGTAGGTACGTGTGGCCCATTTTCTAGTGGCGGTGCGGTGCATTTTCTTTTATTGCGGGAATATTTTTTAGTTTGTTTTTACTCTCAAGCTAGCTGCAAAAATAGAAGTGTCCAACAAGGCTCGACATTCTCCTCCGCCGGTGATCGTAAGCGACACGCCACTCTCTGTGCATGCCAACTTAAATTTGAATATTGAGCATGAACTTGACATCAGGAGGGCCGCATTTAATAAAACATGTGCCCACGAAATGAGCTCAGGCTGTTGTCATCGTATGCAATGGTGGGAATATGTGAAGAATGATATTGCACAACGAGCATCCATCGTGAATACGCCACCGCCTCTGTTTTTGTTAAAGAGATGCGTTGAAGTCAAATTTGTACTCGTATGCTGTGCGAATGTAATTTTAGTAACACTGACTTTTGGTGTACACACTACACACTTGAAGTGAAAGCTATATATATATTTTTTATTATTATTTGGATATGTTTAATTCGATATAGTAAACCATAAAAAATATATCGAGGACATTTAGAATTTTACACGAACCTCTGCTCTCTGGAGTCGTTTTGAAGTATGTAATAACGGCTTCCATAATTGCGGATACAAAGGATGCAATTAGAATTCATCAATGCTCGTAATGCTGACATTACTCCAGGGGACTGTTGATGCTATTCGACAATATCGCCTTTGTCACACTGGAATTGATATGTAGTGCATTTTTTTTAAAACAATGCAATTCTATGGTTTATAAAAATTGCTTTCAACAGCGAGCTCATAATGCATCTACTGTAATAATTATATGCATAATTACATGCATAATTATTATATATGAATGGCATTATACATGTATTTTACTGTACTGCTCATATATTCAAATATAAACTGCTGGGGTGGAGCGGTGGTGCAGTGATTAGCACTACACTGCACGACAAATCGGGCAGCCTGCGTTCCATATCCAGCCACATAACTTGGAGTGATATCTAAGCCAGTCCTGCCCCCCCCCCCTTTCCCTTCCATCAGCACTGACCAGTGTGGTGAAGTATGGTTAAAAAAAAACCCATGACAGTATGGGAAAGCCTTCATCCAGTAGTGCATTGGCAAAGGGCTGGGCGTTGTAATGTACCACGATAATGCGGTATCAATAAAGTGCTTCTCTCCTAATACAATGTAGTATAAACTGAATAAACATTAGGACTTGCTTATACATTGCAGCTTTGTTGTACACGTGTTATTTGAAAGTAAAATAACACCTAATTAGGTCCCATTTGAACACGTAATTTGATGTGTTTTTTTCATCTTATATGTTTAACATTTTCAGCAATCCCTTGTTAATGACGCTTGAGCACCACCCTTGAGATCTGTTAGCCATGAAATAATGCAAATATGTGGAGACGGTGAAGTGCTGTCGGCTCTGAATGTTTCTGCTCTAGGGTGCACCGCTAAAAGTAAGGTGCAGTGGAATTCATTAAAATATGTTCACCTTCACATTAAAAATGTTGGTTCCTTAAGTGTATGCTTATATTATATTCTTTGGGTCTTTCGGTAAAGTCACGTGGATAGGTTCAAAGAATAAACTACGACGTTTCGATCACAACACAAGCGATCGTCATCAGGAGGAGCTCTATGGTTTTGATGAGGGAATCCTTCTGGGAAGAATGGTGGTGGGAGTCAGGTTTCCTGAATTTTGTTATTGTATGTGGTTTTCTCCATGATGACTGGCATTGCCCTTGTCGGCTGAGAGGATGATGATGTCATCTCTCTTTTTTAATTGCGAAAGCTCAAAGCACTCATCCTTACTGATGTTGCTAATCGGTGTCTTAGCGTTTTTGAGGATTGCAGCGATTTCCGATCTTGCCACGTCTGCAGTGATGTGTCCCAAACCCTTAAGGGCTACGTCGACCTGGGCAATGATATCATCAACTGGGATGTGTTTAGGGGTGACTGCGAAATTCAACCCTTTGGCTTGAACCGATTATCGTATATAACATTATTTTCAAGTGTCGTAAGGACAGTGGTACAAAGCAGTCCTCAAATCTTCCCACAGTCAGCAGTCCCTGTGGGCTGTGGTGAGATGTGAGAACAGAGAGGTTAAGGAGCCTTCAGTTGACCGGTGTTACGGTCGGAGGGCGTTGGCAGCACACTGTGCATGCAGATCACTCTCTCGTTCGTGTGTGTGTGTGTGTGTCCTATTTTTTCCTTCCTTGTGTGATCTGGTTCACTTTGACAGCCTCTGACCCTGAGTCTGCTTCTTTCCCCGATGGTGGCCACTAGTTGCGGGTACGTCAGTACCCCGATGTGAACGAGAGTATATTTTGTAATATGCAAGCGTTAAGCCGATTCATTTAAATGTAAAAGTTGGCAACAATTAACAGGTTACCACAAATTATGTGCATTGTGCATACATTTGCTGTACGTACGGATGTATGCACAAACTGCTGTAACTGTAAGATGTCTTGTTTTTTTTTAAATTGATGCTCTTAGAGCAGTCGTTCTTAACCTCTAGTGCAGCCTTGCACCCCTTTGGTTCTCAGTCGTTACGAAATGTATAATGCTCATAAATACAGAGAGCTTTGATGAAACAAAGTAGTTGTACTTACGTGACCGTGCTTAATTTTTGTTTAGACGATTTACCTTCTAAAAAATCTGGCTGCATCCTGCACCCCCAGAAAGGGAATCTCGCACCCCCAGGGGGTGCAGGATGCACCCCAGGTTATGAACCACTGCCTTAGAGGCTTCGCTGCCATATTAACACTTGCTCTCTCTTCTCAAAACTGATCTGACCTCTTTTTCCATGTTTTTATTTCTTTCAGCATACAACTTAAATGCTGATTATATAAATTATTATTTTTCTACTGTGTCAGTGTTCAGAGTAAAATATAAAAATGTTTGTCATGCATACGAAGACATGGGCACTACATGTGTTTTTTCTTAACTCGTCTTTTTATAGAGGAAACCCCCAGTTATATTTCAATCTAAGTATCTGTGATTTTTTTTGCCAGCTTTAATTAAAAAAAAAGTGTTCCTATTTTATTGTAATTGTTGGAACGACAGTATATTTAGCCGTGTCCTGTCCTGCTCAATTGTACTAAAGACCCCCACGTGTGTGTTCTAACCCCCCCCCCCACCCCCCCACCCCCCCGGTGCTCATCATGTGCCACGGGTTAATTGAGACAATGGCTTTGTGTGGTGTGGCGCGTCATCCAGGAACGCCGGCTTCGTGCAGTAGCACGGAGAGCAGGGGGAGCTGCAGCAGCAGCAAGCAACTGCTCCCGATGCTGCCCGACGAGAGGCCGGCTGATTCTGCTGCAGCTCTCGCCTCCCCACGCACATTCATGTAGGGGGCAACACGTCCTGGGCCTAACGGCATGCAGCGGCCGTTGTGTGTGCACCAGCTCACTGCCAACGCTTTGCTTTGCGTTCGGTTATAGGCGAGGGCAGCTTTAAGGGCGCACACACCGCGCAATATGTCCCCCACGATCGCGAAGCTCAATTGACGTAGCTCCCGCTCGAGCTAACGCTGATCGCCAGGGGGCCTACGGGAACACATAATTTCAGTTTTTTCTATCATTCTGTTTGTCGCGGGAGCAATCTCGGCAGTGACGACAACTATGCTTACAACAAAGGGACCGTCGTAATATTTCCGGTGGGGTAATAGCTAATTTTACAACCTCTGCTCCCGACCAAGGTGATTTGTCCCCCTGAAGTTGACGCAAATCCAATAGTGTGCATCGATCCATTTCGTTACTTTAAAAAGCCAAGAAGGGTCCATTGAGACGTCACTCCTCTCACCTAAAGCAGGGAGACCTGCGCTATAACGAGGCGAGCAACAATCATTTTCATAGTAATTGGTGCGAGAGCAATGTGCATGCTTACCAAAGTAAGATGGCAAGAGCGGGGTGGACACTGTGACTCGTGAAATTGAAAATACCAGGATAACGTAACGAAGGAAACAGTGGCGAATCATACCAACAAAGTAAACCCCTATTCAGTTAAATAATCATTAAGCCGTGTTCACCAAATACGTATGTACAGTACTACATAGTTAGCCAAGTTAGGGGCACTATTGCATGGGCTGTTACTGTAATTTGAAACACTGAAACATTGTTCAATTATTGCATTGTAAAGTTTGCATTGGACATTGCATGTTGAACATGATATATGTTTTTGCATATGTTGCACTATACATTATAACACGTTAAAGGAAATAGCTTAATATATAGCTATTTGTGTTTGTTTTCTTTTGCGTTATTTGCTGAATGCTGCCTATAAAGCTTGTGTTTTGCATGATTGCAGAACGTAGGTTTGCTGTTACCGTTTTACCATTGCAGCTTTATGTTTTTTGGAAAGTGTTCCGTATTGTTGAGCCTTCTGGTTTCATAACTCCCAAATGTGCAGGGTTATCTATTGTAGTGTTCGATTGAAAAAAGGGAAAATGCTTTTGAGTGAAGGGTCCTTGACAGACAAAAGGTGAAATTAACCACGTGAAATGAATACGTTAATAACGCAAAATAAATGAGAAGCACATGGATATACAGTATATTTTTATTTTGTAAAATATCAACAAAGGGAGATTAACGAGTTTGTGATACAGAGTTGAAAGTATTTGCACATTAAATACTATTTACTTTTAGAATTGTAGCCACAAAAGGCGAGTTTGAATTATTTATTTGTTTGCATTCACGTGTGCTTGTGTGTGCTTTTTTAGAACATTTATATTTCATTATTGTAGCTTGAGTTACAGGACACATGGTCCTCTGATTCACAACTTGATGACGTTCATTGGCAACTTATCAGAAGTGGACTTAATTGTTTCTGCTGCAAAAAAAAATCAATGGAGACCTACCATCCAAGGTAATCTTAAGCAGAAAAGGCAGTGCATAGTTAACCACCCCCCAAACTCGGGTGGTTAACTGTGAATACTGCTCAATGCGAGTCATATCTAAGACCCTTTATCAGTCTATTAGCACAACGGTGACCACTGCTCGTGGCTATTTCACATGAAGGTACACATACAGTTATATTCCAAGTATTACACTATGCAATACGCATGCAATAAGCATTCTACCGCAATGTGATTTCAATGTATGATATATCTCGCCGATGTATTGGCTATTTCACTGCGTATTAAATCACGAATATACACGAGCGGTTGTCACTTCTGAGTTGCAAAGTTGATATTCTAGCAGCAGCAATCTTGAATGGAGCATTCGGAACAATTGTGCTGTCTGGCCATTGCTAAAACGACGCTCCACTAAAGCACGGAGTACACATTTAACCGTGTGATCTTTGAAACAATGAGCCTTATAGTCCCTTGGTGTGCTGCCTTGCAATGCTAGTCTGCTTTGCAGTGTCATCATCATGCTAATTGATGCACGTTTCAACAATGACTGGAGATAGTTGATTTTTGGGCTGTAATTAATTGTCAAGAATATACAGTATATAAAATAAACAAGTATGCCCCATTTTGCGTTTGAACTGTGTATATTTTTTTTTATTGTGCGTACGAAAGATCAGGAAGAAGTTGAGGAAGTGGAGGGAACTAATTGCGGCCTTCTGTCCCATAGGGGATGAAGAGGATTAACAAACGGATGATAAAGAAGCAGTCATAGGCAGGCGAAAATTAAGATATTGAGCACGGGATTTTTAACAGGGGTTAAGGGATTCCACACAGGATGGATAATTGAGGGGAGGGAGTTTCAGAATGGGGGACAGCAGAGGAGAGTGAGCGACCTCTCACTGAGAGAGGCTTCACTGGGCGCTTTGCGTGGAGGTGAGTTGAGGTGAGGGCAGATGTCGGCAGGGCTGAGTCCATTTAGGATCGTGACGATGGGGAATTTTATTCAGGAATTGGGATGGGTGCCAACGGACGCATTGGACATTTTGTGTGGGATTTTTTTCGTTTCTGTTTTCCTAGTGAACGGTGATGCGCCGTTTTTATTTTGATGTAGAGCACTTTCAGATACTGTGCCATTTAAGCGCCATACAAATCCTGAGCTTTATTTGCTCGCGTTATTAAGCGTTGACTTCAAAAATCCAACAGGGGGCGCCAGCTGGTGTGGTGAAAGCTCAAACTTGTCCTATCAGGAGGAAAGTCGACAATCGACACGACAGTTTTGCACAATCGGGTAATTCACAATAGCTGGTCTACAATTCCAGTACGAAAATATCTGAAAGGGAAAAATAACAATTATGATAGTCATTGTCTACAAAGGTGGACAGCCTTCACGCAGCACGGAGACTGACCATTATTAGATTTAACACGTAGTAAGCTTTCGCGACCGATATTAATGATACAAGTTTTTTTTGGGTTAGATCGCGTAAATATAATGTGTCGTAACCCTCCACCACGTAAACAAAACATGACGTCACCATGCGTGACGTCATCGTACCGGAGGGCGAGCGTGACGTCATTAACTCCTACTCTACACATGTACAACTTGAACACGCCCGATGATGCTGGATGGAATCACCAGCGAAACGGGCGGAATTCGACCTAGCCAAGTGGACTAACCACTTCGCCAACACTCCACAAACTACATTGAAAGGCAAAGGTGCAGCCCTGCAATGTCTTCAATGAGTACTGGCCGACAGGGGGGGGCTTCAGCTCCAGGGAGCTTTGGAGCGTACTTGGCCTCCTCTTCCACCTTGGGTCAGACAACTTGGAAGAGTGTTTGTGAGTAAATTACCCAACCTGGCAATGGATAACAAAACTCGGTGCCGCGCAAAGGTCAACTAACGTCTACAATCGTAAAGCTGAGCTTTCCAAAACGTTGTATTCTTACTTTTCTTAGTGTATGGGGTACGGGCAGATCGCGCTCAACAGGCATCTCGCAAAGTAAACGAGTCACCCGCGGGCGACCTGTACCCGTGCAAAAATTCTTCTCACATCCGAGTGAGGATTCGGGCGTCACCCCGAACCGTTATTTTCCTTACTCATTAGTTTAAGGCATAAGGTTGAACAGCACGGCGTTCGTCATCTATAGGCACAGCCTGTGTCTAAACGTCATGGGTACCCAGAATGTGTTTTTTTAATGTGTCGTCTAGATATGGTTTTATTTGATATTTTAATTAATTACAATTTAATGTTTTATAAAGATAGATTTATATATGTGCCGAGTGCCTAATCTGTTTGAGAATATCAATTTACGCGAGGTGTGACGTCGCTGACTACATTAACATAATTTATACTGTTCGCAATGGAAGTTTATGCGCCGCTTAGTGGCAACTTTGGGTAATCGCAGTCGACTTCAATAAAACCATCGTCTCATTGCGTGCACAGATATCAATATATACCTTACATGAATGCAACTTAAATTCTAAATATTGGTATTTTGTCTATTATGTCATCATCGGGCGTTATTTCCCAGTCACTGTGAAACAGTCTAAGTGTTAAAATATTGACAATGTATCAGTTAACAAGTGTACAGTCGGTCCATACGTTTGTAAATGCATGGCCCTGTGGGGCCGTCCATAAATGACGTCACGCGACTTTGGACGATTTTTGACCCCCCCCCCACTCTGATGTTGTAGGAGAAAACATTTATTAAAAAAGTATATTTAATTAAGTATAACGTGTTGTCTATATTTATTTAAAGTTGCGCATTTTGATGTGACGTCACATTTCTCAAACTCCCCCCCCCCTCCTCGTCACACATCGTCACAAATGTCTGACCCCTCCCCCTCCTAGGTGCGTGACGTCATTTATGGACGGCCCCTATTCCCACAAAGACAAAGATTCTCCCCTTATAGCCTTCACAATCGCTGCAGCAAGTGCTGTTAGCGAGTAGCGCACCACGTGGGGATGGGAGGCCAGCACCACGCCCGACCGCCTTTGTCTCCCCGGTGGCGATGTTTTTACGTTGAACTTCTTTCGCACCGTATGTCGCCAACCGTGCTAATCGGAGATGCGGGATGTTGACACACCGCACCAGAACCGGTCCAGATAATCGTCACTGGTGATGGCCGTGAGTGGGAATCGAACTCGGGTCGCTAAGTTCCTAGCGCAGCACAACGTAATAACTCGCACGCATTTTCAATCCACTGCTGGATGAATTCCTCACCGCTCATCAGGGTTGCTTGGACATACTTCACCGCACTGGTCATTCGGTGAGGGTTGGTAAGGGTGGAGACAGATGGGGGGACCACTCAGGACCAGTTCAGACATCACTCGCCACTGATGTTAGCCGTGGCCACGGAATGTAACTCAGATTTCCAGGTTCATAGTGTATCCAGATAACCATTTGTCCGCCCCTCCCCACCCTCGCCACACAATCAAGCGGTCATAAACAAGAGTCTTTAACATAACGCTTAAGATAACTGGGCCTAATTGGCTTTGCGTGTGATTAAACTAATGGTAAATGTAGCGTGCACACACAACCAGTTCAGCGGCGCAATGTGTAACTTAGTGCTTGCGCGGCGATGTGGATCTCACCAGAAACACACCTGTAAGTAGAGACAACGCAGAGACGAGACCGGTCAGGTACGGCACCGAGATATGTTGTCAATTGTAGCCTCATTCAATGACCACGGCGGAAAACTTGGGACTATTATTCTGAACAATTAGCGTCTCCTCGATTGCTTCCGTGGCGATTTATCTCGTTGGTAGTCGATCGTGGCTGGAGCTGCTGTTGGGATGATGATGTTAAAGGAGTCTACAATAATCTTATTCTTTGTCTGTGTGGAGCGGTGGTGTAGCGGTTAGTGCGCTGCGCTACGAACCCGGTGACCCGAGTTCACTTCCGCTCACGGTCAACATCAGTGGCGATTATCTAAATCGGTCCTGGGCCTCCCCTAGGTCGACTTAGCCTCAAGTGAGTACCTGTGTGGTGTAAACATCGCCACTTAGGGAGACAAAGGCGGTCGGGCGTGATGCTGGCCAACCACACCCTCGTGTGCCGTTCTGGCCTTCATAGGTGCTTGCTAACAGCACTTGCCCCAACAGTCTGTTAAGGCTATACGGGGGATCTTTGTCTTTGTTCAGGTCAGCTGGAGTGCTCTTGTTTTACTGTACGTGTCGCCAATGGATCTCCAGAGCAGCAAGCGTTGATGATGCCACGGTGTGTTATTCCTGTAGAGCAGTCAACATGTCCTGCAGCAATATTCATTACAAGAGACCCACAATAGCGAATCTAGTCCATAATTTGCATACCCAAAACATGTGCTGACGATTACGTCTCGAAAGGCAAGCTGTGGTTGAATGGAGGTGTAGGACATTGCATTTCATTGTGTCTAAGAAGACAGCTTTCATTAATGCGTGGTAAGATTGGTCATAAGAATGGACACTCATCCAAAAATGTTTAAATGAAAGTTAAAAACTGCGTGAAGAATCACCCGGGAGAGACGCCCATTTGGAATTGAAGAGGCAGAAAGAGGAACACGTGGAATAGATGACTCAAGCAGGTCACAGGTATGATGGTCTCTGTTAAAATTAAATGGTCCTGGGCATCCCCTAGGTCGACTCAACCTCCAATGGTCTCTGTTAAAAAAAAAAAACTAAAAATGTGCTTGGGCAGGAGGGGTGACGATGTCCAGTGGGCGAGACTGAGAACTGAGTGTCAGCCAAAGGAGAGGTGGGGGACGCTCCAGGCAGAGGAACGTCCACCGCGGAAGACGAAGCGCCGAAATTATCTCGAGTGCAGGCGCCTGGCAAAGCGCTGAATCGCAGGGCCGAGTTTTCGTGGCTGACGATGGCTTTTGAGGGGGGAGGCCTTCATCCAGCAGCGGATTGATCATGGCTGGTTTGGGGGGGGGGGGTGACGATGTTATCGTTGTAGCCAATGAAGACTCCACCGTGAATTCCAGCACCGCTCTGTTCGCCTTGCGTGGCTTCTCGCCGCATTGGACAGCGCTGTGGCTCAATGGGCAGGAGGAGCGCCTCTTCCACCCCCACCGCCACAACCACGTGTGTGCTTGTCCTATTAAAGCTGCCCGGGCTGCCTAGGTTACACGGCACAACGCCTGCGACAAGCCAGCAAGCAGCAGGAGGAGTAGAGTGGAGGAGGGCGCATCGGTGGTGGTGGTGGATTGAGCGCCTCTCAAAACGCTCTCAGCAGCAGCAGCCGGAGGAGGAGGAGGGGTGAAGCGGAATTCCAGAATCTTCATTAGCACCCGCAGATCATCTTCCGCCACGCAGAAACGCGCGGCAGCTTTGTCCGCCTCACAGGTGAGGACTGCATGAGACAGCGGCGGTGGTGGTGGCACACGTGCGCGTGTGAGTGTTGAACCTGTGAGAGAATCACATAGCGCCTCTTACCCAAAGCCGTCTCGAGTGGCGGATAAAGCGCTAATGCCTCGATAGCGGAACGGAGATGACACGGCGCTCTGAATCATCATCCCATGCCGTGGAGTCACTTTCTCCATCTGTGCGCTTATCGTACGCCTTTTGTAATCCCATTGATTTGTAATGTATAATCCGGCTTTGGTGTAAGTGACACACACACACATATGCACACTGTAAGATGCTTTCATTAAATTACGTGTGTGTGTGCACTTTACAGAGTTGTTACAAATACGCGATTACATTTTTACAACCGTGAGCTGTTTTTCTTCCTCCCAAGAATGGTCGTGTTTATATGTATTGAACGTTGAACCTCTTTCGCGCCGTACGTAGCCAACCATGCTAATCGGAGGTGCCAGGTTTGGGCTACTGTGAGTGTAGCAGATATTTCGTGTGATATGGTAACGAGTCGTTGCGGTACACTTGAAGTATGTCGTCTATGGCAACGTGGCCTTCATACCGTGCCTGCATAGTTGTGACCAGTGTCTATCATAGCCGAATAAGATAAACAGACATTGAGATAAGACGAAGCTTTACATGTCACATATCACCGCATGTCTTTACGATCTCCAATGTTACAATGTACCGAGAGAAAGATACGCCTGCAACTAGCCTGCCATGCAAATGCTTCCCTGCCTTTGTGTATACGGGAGGGGAAGTTGAATGTTGCGTCTTTTTATCATCATCATTAGCAGCAGCAGCATCATCATCATCGCCATCACGTGATAACTCATTTTACAACTTTGCCTTGGTCCACACGCGTTGCACTCGTTCATAGAGGCAACTGCATCATCTTTCGTGGAAAATTCCAATATATCCATGGGCAGCTCGTCTCTCTATAGTCTATACGCACACACACACACACGTGGTGCGACTTGGAGCAGACACGTGCTTTTAAACGAAGTCACTTCATCTGTGCCGAGCGGTCGTGGTCGAACTCTGGCACGAGAAATCATCGCGAGCCACGCGTACGGAGAGGAACGAAGTCGGTTCCCAGTCCCCACGTGTTAGAGGCGGGCGGCTTGGGGAACGATCGGATCGATAACATCCGCAATGAACGTTGCCATCCCCACCAGTGCCGGATGAAGCTAGTGCGGGGCCTGCAGCATGCGTTATAAAGGGACCCTAAATAAAAACACACTTAAATATTAAAACACGCAATTTGTACTTGCGTAGTAAAGTAATTGTATTTTTTTCATTTGCTATACAGCCGGATAATACGACAAATCGCTAACCTTAAACACCCAGTCGTTCATAAAAGTTGAAGGCGGTACAGTACTATAGTAATAGAGCAAGTGCAGAATCACTGAATCGGAATTGATAGCTTGAAAGCATTTAGCCATTGAAAGTGCGGGGCGCGTAGCTACATATGTAGCTACTGTTGCTACTACATGTGTAGCTACTGTTGCTACTACATGTGTAGCTACTGTTGCTACTACATGTGTAGCTACTGTTGCTACTACATGTGTAGCTACTGTTGCTACTACATGTGTAGCTACTGTTGCTACTACATGTGTAGCTACTGTTGCTACTACATGTGTAGCTACTGTTGCTACTACATGTGTAGCTACTGTTGCTACTACATGTGTAGCTACTGTTGCTACTACATGTGTAGCTACTGTTGCTACTACATGTGTAGCTACTGTTGCTACTACATGTGTAGCTACTGTTGCTACTACATGTGTAGCTACTGTTGCTACTACATGTGTAGCTACTGTTGCTACTACATGTGTAGCTACTGTTGCTACTACATGTGTAGCGACTGTTGCTACTACATGTGTAGCTACTGTTGCTACTACATGTGTAGCGACTGTTGCTACTACATGTGTAGCTACTGTTGCTACTACATGTGTAGCGACTGTTGCTACTACATGTGTAGCTACTGTTGCTACTACATGTGTAGCGACTGTTGCTACTACATATGTAGCTACTGTTGCTACTACATAAGTAGCTACTGTTGCTACTACATGCAGCTACTGTTGCTACTACATATGTAACTATAATAATTGTTTTATATATTTTGACATTTACCGAACCTTTTGTCAATCCACTGCTGGATGAAGGCCATGCCGGAACGAGCTTTAATGTTGTCACCTTGGGAGACCCGAGGTTGATTGTTCCTGGTCACGGCTAACATCAGTGGCGAGTGTGAACCGACACCACCCCCTCCTCGCCTTCACTAACACGCACTGACCAGTGTGGGGAAGTATGACCAAACAACCACCGTGACCAGCAGCGGCGTGGTGAGGCCTTCATCCAGCAGCGGAAGGGCAACACGACTCTGTACATTCTTTAATGCTATCGTTATCTTAGGAACTTCCAAAAGGCCCAATAATCAGCACCCCTAACGGGATGATGTTCCACAAAAGTTGTGTTCACGTCCGTCTGCGTCGAGACACCTCCGTGACACATGTCACTCGCACACACGTGTCACTCGCACACTCACCCACGTGTCACTCGCATACACGTGTTCCGCCAGCAGTTGTTTTGGTTGCTGCTGCTGCACAGCCTGAAGGCAACGCTCCAGCCCAGAGCGACTTGCCCCAGCCACTGGAGCAAGTTGCGGGGAACGCTCCGTGTGTGCGCCGTGATGCGTCTCGTCTCTCCGTGTTCACGTCTCGAGGGCCAATTCTGCGTGGACCATTCTATTTGGCCGGCACCAGAGCTCGCCTCGACGAATCGAGCGCCTCTGATTGTCGAGGCAGGAGTGGCTGAGAGCGCAAGGGCAGACCGGTGGAGATGATGAGGCACCCGGGAGGGTTCCTTTTTCGCCTAATTAGAGAGTAGGCGCGATAACATTTCACGAGTTTTAAAATGTATGTTTAACACGTAGGCTCTCGCGACCGATATCATCCATGAAAGAGATGCTTTGGGTTAGATCGAGTAAATAAATACACACGTGTCGTTAAACCCGCCACCACCCGACGCAGCCAATTAGTAAGGTTTGTTAGTAAACTGAACGTGCCAATTCGTTACTAGTCCAGCACACCGGTGTGTTGGAGAGTACATCCACAACATTTACAATCTGAGTACGACGTTTCGCCAGTAATTACAACTAGCATCGCAAAAAGTGCATGATGACTGTGTTTCTCCTGGCGCAGCGGTGAGTGCAATACGTTACAAGCCCAGGGATTCGAGTTCGACTCCCAGCCCTGGCTAACATCAGTGGCCAGTGATATCATAATTGCCCTGTGCCGCCCCCACTTTACAAATCCCCTCTGACCAGCAGGGTGAAGTACGGTCAACAATCCCCACGAATGACATGACACGGGCAGGCAACGTGGATTGATATATGTCTAACACGTAGGCTTTCGTGACCAATATTATTCATAATGAAGGTTTCTTTTGGGGGATTAGATGGCGTAAGTATAAATTCTGGCAAAATCGCCCGATGATGCTGGATCTAATTACCAGTGAAACGTCACAGCACTCAAATTGTAAATGTTGTGGAATTACTCTCCAGCACACCGGCGGTGGACTAAAGTAGAAAACTAATTGGCCACGTTTTGTTTACGTGACAAACATTACTAATTGGCTGTGCCGGGTAGTGGTGGGTTCACGACACATTTATACTTACACGATCTAACCCCCAACAACACCCTTTATTATAACACGAGCTTTACTATCCGGCTTCGCCCGAGACTTGGATTCTTGTCTTGGATTAATAGACGGCCTACACGGATGGTGGGGGGGGCGTGACGTCAGTAGGCAGACTGCGTGACGCTGCCGCATGCGGGTGACATCGCAGATCTGACGTCACCGCTCACTTGCCGTGCACAATATATCCATTATTGCCCCCCCCCCCCCCCAAAATACAAAAATTATTTTTATACGTTTTGCATTGTGTACATTCTGGAAACTACCCACATGCCAAATTTCAAGTTTGTTGCATGTCGGGAAGTATGCTAAACATTTCGAATATACACATATTCACAAATTTCCCTTTTATATATATAGATAGGGCTCTTTATTGTTCCCTGTGTGTCCTGTCAACCAGGTGGAATTCAATTACATTGTCGACTCTCATGAAATCTATCACATACATGTAAAGCATCTAGCACGTATTTGCAATGTTTACCGATTTTTTGTACTTTAGTATCTTTGTTACTGGTTACATATTTACGTTCAAGAACGTGGTATTTGCTCAGATGTGTTTTGCTTCATGTCGTGGTGTTTTTAGATCGGCCTTGAGATCTGTATTCAAAGAAAGATAAATCTCATCATGATAATTACGTGACATGCATGACCAATAAGAATTCATTTAAGACCAGTGGTCTCCTCTTCAATGATGACCTGGATATGATTGCATCTTCTGTTAAATTATAGCTCAAGCCTGATTCTACATTAAGCATCAGGCCCTCTTATTCTCGTCCTTTGCACGTTGCTCTGTGGGGGCTTGAACCGCTTCCTTCACCGGCATCTCCTCGCGTTGCTTCCTCCTGCACGAGAACCTCCGACGGCCCCCTCCACCACGGGGCCTTGGCAGCCGCTCACCCTTAATTTTGTGCACGTGTCCCAGTCGGCGTTGTTCGTTGCATTTACACGCGACCTCGCCGAGCAGTCTGGATTCCCTTGTCTCTGTCCACGGTGGTTAAAAACGAAAAAACTTGACGTAAAATAAACCCGCGCTGCCGCAGGTTCATCGAGCGTGGCCAGGGAGGAGAAACCATGCCCATGCCCGCTCTGCTCCAAATCGCCGCTCGCTTCCAACAAAGCTGGCAGCCTCTGCCCCCCGGTGCCGAGGATGAAGCTCGCGGGGCGGCGAGGGCCGACGGTGGCGGTGCAGCAGGAGGAGACGGCGGCGGCGGAATCTGTCTCGACGATAGCCTCACCAGCCTGCAGTGGCTCCAAGAGTTCTCCATCCAGGGCTCGAGCCTGCGGGCTCCGCAAGTGTCTCCCGGTGGCGCTGGCAACAGCGGCGGACTGCAGCAGTTGCAGCAGCAGCTGCTGCTGCTGCAGGACGAGCAGCAGCTGCAAGTGCAGCAGCAGCAGCAGCAGAGGTCGGGACCAGCGCCGTGCTCGCCTCCGGCCGGCGACACCGCGGGCGCAAGGGGGACCCCCGCGTGCACCCCGCAGCGCCCGGCCTGCGGTCGCAGCAGGGAGGGCACCGGCGAGCAGCAGGGGGGGGGGCGAGCGGCCAGCCCGGTGCCGGACGAGGTCGACTACCGCACGGACGCCAGCGTGAAGCCGCCCTACTCGTACGCCACGCTCATCTGCATGGCCATGCGCTCCACCCACAAGAGCAAGGTCACGCTGGCCTCCATCTACAAGTGGATCATGGACAACTTCTGCTACTACCGCCACGCCGACCCCACGTGGCGGGTGCGTACGTGCGTCTCTGTGTGCGTCTGTGTGTCTCTGTGTGTGCGTCTGTGTGTCTGTGTGTGCGTCTGTGTGTCTGTGTGTGCGTCTGTTTGTCTGTGTGTGCGTCTGTGTGTCTGTGTGTGCGTCTGTGTGTCTGTGCGGTGGGGAGCGGCAGTGTAGTGGTTAGCGCCACGCTGCGCTACGAAACCGGTGACCCGAGTTCGATTCCCGCTCACGGCCAACATCAGTGACGATTATCTGAACCGGTCCTGGCCCTCCCCTAGGTAGACTCAACCTCAAATGAGTACCTGGTGCGGTGTGTGTAGTAACTATCGCCACGAGGGAGACAAAGGCGGCCGGGCGTGGTGCTGGCCACCCACCCCCTCGTGTGCCGTGCCAGGCTTCAGAGGTGCTCGCTAACAGCACTTGCCCCAACAGTCTGTTAAGGCTACATGGGGGATCTTTGTGTGTGTGTGTGTGGTGATCATGTGCAGATGCGCTAAATTATTTGTTGATGTTGTGGTTGTTGCTGTTCCAAGGCAGAGGGAACTGTGTTAGGGGTTTTTGGGGTTCCCAATGGGGAATATTTGTGGCTTCTAGCCATGTCGTGTGTAATGTACATCCGTGTAGTGTGTAATGCACAGTGATGGGTATAAGTGTACGAGCTAGTGGAGCTGTGTTTTGTATCAGTGGGTTGATAGTGAATGAGTGATGTGCTGTGACTGGTTGTGCCTTGTTCCTAAACGTGATGCCTTGAAGGAAGCGTGCCAAGAGCGCAGTGTTGACGATACACAAACGAAACATCAAATTGTTTTAGACGTCCTTATAATCCCTCATGGTTAAATATATAGTTAATTTTTGTTGTTGTTGGTTCGGTGACTTCAATGCATTCTCACGGCTTATACTCTTAATTTAAATCGAAGCATCTCCGGGCAATGGAATCTTCGTGAAGGTGAGCTTCGGGAAGAAAAAGATACCAACATAATAATACTAATAATAGTGGCACGATGACGAGAATATGATGAATACACAGCCCTCGTTACCACGTCCCCACGACTTCCCCCGATTTAAAGAGATCGAGAGAGAGAGAGACGTACACCTCGCCCGCGTGTGTGACTTCGAGGAGTCTCGTAAAGTCGAAGGCGCTTCACGCCGCCTCGGCCAAGAGGGCCCCCCCAGTAGGGGGGGGGGGGGGGTGACGCTAATGGGGGGAGGCAGGGAGGGAGCCGCCCCCCCCCCCGTGCGGGTTACTGCGGGCACCCGGCTGACCCCCCCCCCCCCCCCCAGCGGTGGTCATGAGCGGGTCAATGAAACCCTTTAAATCAGCGGCTCTTAACCTTGTAGAACGTTAATAACTACATCGAGGGTTTGATGGAACACAGTAAGTTGTTACTTACGTGCTCCGTGATTGATTTGTGCTTCGATGGTTTACCTTTAAAAAAATATAATCTGGCCACGTCTCTCGCCACCTCTCCCAGAAAGGGCATCTCGATCTCGCACCCCCAGGTTAAGAACCACTGCCTAAAGTCAACCGAGCTATTCAAACCATTATGTGCGCCCGACTCGCACTGCTCAGCAACGTTTTAGGATAGTGCAATGACCTTGATGTTATTATTATGAGTGCAGTTGCACCCATGTGTAATTGGTTACGAAGATTGGCCTGATAAGATATCATGTAAAGTTGGTGATTTTATTCATTTCAGGATTTATGTAACAAAAAACCCGTCATGACCATCCTGCCCATCATAAAGCGAGGTTAGACCGCTGATATACAACTACAGCACAGTGTACATATATTTACATCTATTTACATATATTTTTGGGAGAGTAAGGATATACCAGAGTTAATGTCAATCGTAACACTTCAACAAATTCCATGGTCGATTTGTATACAAAAATAATATTATTACAGAGTCAGCTTAAGGTGAAAGGAGACTGCAATGGCCCAGCTATCGTTCAGACATCTGCACTTTGTCTCCCTGATGAGCCACGCTCGTAACGACCTCGCGCAAGGCGTGGGGGCGTTGATGGCCATTCCACGCTGTCCACTCTCCCCTCCTCAGTGTCGAAGGGATTCGACTCCGTGCAAGTGCATGGCGTGTTGTTGTTGTTGCACCACACACACAGATCACTGCACCACCATGTGCCCTGCTGTGAGTGTAGATAATTATGAACACGGTTTTGCTGAACACAGACAGAGGCTCAACGGTGCAACATTCCCAGCAAGCAGCAACAATCAGCACCATTGAATGTGTAATAGGATAAACACTTGAGGAGTTTATTGGCTTAAGCAGCGTTACAATACATTCACAAAAGAGATACTGATGGTGTGAGGAGGGAATTTCAAAGTGGAGCAGGGCGAGGGATGAAGCAGAAAGGGAAGTGTTGTGACCTGCAGGGTGGTGAGTGGGTGGGTGAGTGTTGTGACTTGCAGGGTGGTGAGTGGGTGGGTGAGTGAGTGGGTGAGTGTTATGGTGACCTGCAGTGTGGTGAGTGGGTGAGTGGGTGGGTGAGTGGGTGGGTGAGTGTTGTGACCTGCAGGGTGATGAGTGGGTGAGTGAGTGGGTGAGTGAGTGAGTGGGTGGGTGAGTGAGTGGGTGAGTGTTGTGACCTGCAGTGTGGTGAGTGAGTGAGTGGGTGAGTGAGTGGGTGAGTGAGTGGGTGAGTGAGTGGGTGAGTGTTGTTGTGACCTGCAGGGTGGTGAGTGAGTGAGTGGGTGAGTGGGTGAGTGAGTGGGTGGGTGAGTGAGTGGGTGAGTGTTGTGACCTGCAGGGTGGTGAGTGAGTGGGTGAGTGAGTGAGTGAGTGGGTGGGTGAGTGAGTGGGTGAGTGTTGTGATCTGCAGGGTGGTGAGTGAGTGGGTGGGTGAGTGTTGTGACCTGCAGGGTGGTGAGTAGGTGAGTGAGTGGGTGAGTGAGTGGGTGAGTGAATGGGTGAGTGGGTGGGTGAGTGTTGTGACCTGCAGGGTGGTGAGTGAGTGGGTGAGTGAGTGGGTGAGTGAGTGGGTGAGTGTTGTGACCTGCAGGGTGGTGAGTGAGTGGGTGGGTGAGTGATTGGGTGAGTGAGTGGGTGAGTGTTGTGACCTGCAGGGTGGTGAGTGAGTGGGTGAGTGATTGGGTGAGTGTTGTGACCTGCAGGGTGGTGAGTGAGTGGGTGGGTGAGTGGGTGGGCGAGTGAGTGGGTGAGCGTTGTGACCTGCAGGGTGGTGAGTGAGTGGGTGGGTGAGTGGGTGAGTGAGTGGGTGAGTGAGTGAGTGGGTGAGTGTTGTGACCTGCAGGGTGGTGAGTGGGCGAGTGAGTGTTGTGACCTGCAGGGTGGTGAGTGAGTGGGTGAGTGAGTGAGTGTGTGAGTGTTGTTGTGACTCACATTGTGGTTGAACACAGGATGGGTGAGGTGAAACAAGTCAGTTCGGTAGACCGAGTCCTGGCTGTCTGCCTGATGAAGCTAGTTGTAATTGCTGGCGAAACGTCGTACTCACATTGTTAATGTTGTGGGTTTGCTCTCCAACACACCGGTGTGCTGTATTAGTGACGAATTGGCACGTTCTGTTTACATGACAAACCTTACTAGTTGGCTGTGTCGGGTGGTGGCGGGTTTAATGACACATTTATATATTTACGCGATCTCACCCAAAAAACCCTACATTATTGGCCGGGTCCCCATCGTGGCTGGAAGAATCAACGAGTGAAGTTCATGGGCAAAGTAACCATGTTAGTAGCGCGAGTCGAGCGACTGGAGTGAAGCAGTAGGTGCTGGGCACAACTTCAATGTTAAAGACTCCCCCGTGACTGCAATTTTAAAGGCTCCCATAGACTTCAGTGTTGAAGGCTCCCGTAGACTTCAATGTTAAAGGCTCCCATAGACTTCAGTGTTAAAGGCTCCCATAGACTTCAGTGTTAAAGGCTCCCATAGACTTCAATGTTAAAGGCTCCCATAGACTTCAATGTTAAAGGCTCCCATAGACTTCAATGTTAAAGGCTCCCATAGACTTCAATGTTAAAGTCTCATATTGACTTCAATGTTAAAGTCTCCCATAGACTGCAATGTTAAAGGCTCCCATAGACTACAATGTTAAAGACTCCCATAGACTTCAATGTTAAAGGCTCCCATAGACTTCAATGTTAAAGTCTCCCATTGACTTCAATGTTAAAGTCTCCCATAGACTGCAATGTTAAAGGCTCCCATAGACTACAATGTTAAAGACTCCCATAGACTTCAATGTTAAAGGCTCCCATAGACTTCAATGTTAAAGTCTCCCATTGACTTCAATGTTAAAGTCTCCCATAGACTTCAATGTTAAAGGCTCCCATAGACTACAATGTTAAAGACTCCCATAGACTTCAATGTTAAAGGCTCCCATAGACTTCAATGTTAAAGGCTCCCATAGACTTCAATGTTAAAGTTTCCCATAGACTTCAATTTTAAAGGCTCCCATAGACTGCAATGTTAAAGGCTCCCATAGACTACAATGTTAAAGGCTCCCATAGACTTCAATGTTAAAGTCTCCCATAGACTTCAATGTTAAAGACTCCCATAGACTACAATGTTAAAGACTCACATAGACTTCAATGTTAAAGGCTCCCGTAGACTTCAATGTTAAAGGCTCCCATAGACTTCAATGTTAAAGTCTCCCATAGACTTCAATGTAAAAGGCTCCCATAGACTTCAATGTTAAAGGCTCCCATAGACTTCAATGTGAAAGGCTCCCATAGACTTCAGTGTTAAAGGCTCCCATAAACTACAATGTTAAAGACTCCCATAGACTTCAGTGTTGAAGGCTCCCATAGACTTCAGTGTTAAAGGCTCCCATAGACTTCAGTGTTAAAGGCTCCCATAGACTTCAGTGTTAAAGGCTCCCATAGACTTCAATGTTAAAGGCTCCCATAGACTTCAATGTTAAAGGCTCCCATAGACTTCAATGTTAAAGGCTCCCATAGACTTCAATGTTAAAGTCTCATATTGACTTCAATGTTAAAGTCTCCCATAGACTGCAATGTTAAAGGCTCCCATAGACTACAA